AGAATAACTCAAAATTATGGAGGATAAATAAATAAATAAAACCACGAGATCTCGGTGAAATAAAATTCTCTACACGGGATGCTTTTGTTTCATACTTCTCATCTCGTATCTTCGATCGAGTCAAGATCTTCTTACGTGAAATCCGCATAGACTTATGAATGAACGTTGGACGCATCGATCGTAGCCTATCTTAGCAAATTTGCTGCTAATTTCATAAGCTTCGTTAAATTTCCCTTCGCTTCGGCTCGTCCCTTTTTCGTGATCTCCTTTATCGCCAGCACCGCCGCTTTACTCTATTAACTTCGTAACAGATGAATATTCATGCATATTCAATGTCCCCACACCGGTTTTCTATTTTCTTCCTTGCTGTCCAAGGACGCAATTTCGCTGAAAAATCCGCCGCGAGTTTTCTAATGAGCACACACGGTGCGAGTGCCTGGCGAGTTTTACCGCGGACAAATATCTCTTTGCTTTAACGTCGTCTGTACAAGATACTCACGATTTCCTTATTGCGCACGGTTTCGAACTTTAGAATTCTATCCTGCCACCATTGAGTCTGGTTTCTCCCGGCTGTCGTCTCCAGACTGGTACACGCCGAGAGACGATAACGTTATGCCGGGACACGCGTGACGCGAGCGTAATTTCGAGCTTCGATCTTAACGTTTTGGTAGCAGCAGAGGTGTGAAGCATCCGGAAAAGGTCGGAGTCGAGGTGGGAAAGGAAGTCTTTCCAGGATACGGACGGGAAAGAAATTTTTCCCATGATCGGGATAAGGAAAGAATTTTTTCCAGGATCAGGACGGAAAAGAAATTCTTTCCAGAATCGAGATGGGAAAGGAATATTTTGTAGAATCGAGACGGAAAAGAAATTTTTTCCACGATCGGGATAGGAAAGGAATTTTTTCCAAGATCAGAATGGGAAAGAAATTTTTTCCAGAATCGGGACGGGATAGGAATTTTTTCCAGAATGAGGGTAGGAAAGAAATTTTTTTCAAGATAGAGGGGAAACGAATTTTTTCTAGAATCGGGACAGAAAAGGAATTCTTTCCAGGATCAGAGTGGGAAAGAAATTTTTTCCAGAATCGGGACGGGATAGGAATTTTTTCCAGAATGAGGGTAGGAAAGAAATTTTTTTCAAGATAGAGGGGAAACGAATTTTTTCTAGAATCGGGACAGAAAAGGAATTCTTTCCAGGATCAGAGTGGGAAAGAAATTTTTTCCAGAATAGAGAGGGGAAAGGGATTTTTCTAGGATCGGGACGGAAAAGAAATTTTTTCCA